GTCCCTGCGTTTAGGCTACGTTTTCAACCTCGCCACACCTTGGGGAGTCTACGTAACCTATGTCTTCAAGTGAATCGATGCCTAAGGGACGTTAGAATCAGTGGTAGGGGCGAACTCTTTGTAAAAACATCGACTTTTGAAGGAAATGGACATTTCCTGAGACATGATGCCCCTTCCTACATTTATACCCCTCCAACTGTAAAAAGTTCCTACCTATCTGTTAGCAAGTGGTTCTCTGTTTAAAAAGCAACCATTATATCATTTGGTTATTAACTAGGGATGGATACCAGGGGGTGCGGGGTGCCCTTTTTTGTCCTTTGGTAAAACAAACCTTTGCTTCGAAAAGGCAAAAAGAATTTTTCGGTAGTCAGCAGGTAAAAAAACGATGCAAAATTTTACCTTTCTTCCATCTTCTTTATCTTAAAATATATTAAATTTAAAAATGGTGTTTCCATCAATTTACATGCACTGCAACGGTGTGGTGCAAAATCAAAATATTTTTCTAACACTCCCCCCCCCCCCTGTCCTCGATGCTAAAATCCGTCCCTGCTTGTCGTTCTGGTCAACAAAGGCTAGGGGCTTTGAAAAGCCAATCATTTCTTTATAAACAATTTTTATTTGTCGTTTATCGACCTACCTAATCAAACGACAATTTCCCCTCCTGAAATTTCTCGTCCAAAATTGATTATTCCTACAGGAATATTGAAAATACAAGAAAAAATTAAGCTCTTTCAAAACAAAGCTGAGATCTTGTTTTTATTGGATGTAAAGGGCAAAACCCGATCCAGCATTATCTCGATAAATGTCATAAAACAGCATTTATTAAAATTTAAGTAAGATTACCATAATCCGGTTTCAATTCAAGCGTAATTTCCGCATGCGCTGTTTATTATGGAAAGCTTTTATCAGGATTGCTAGCCGCGTTGATTATGCACTTGACCCGGTAGGAGGCGTACTCCTTTGATAACTGAGGTATAAAAGGAAATGACCGGGTCATCAAATTCAAGTCGCTTTGAAAAACAAAAATTAATTTCTATTTTCAAATA